TTTTAGTGACTTTTAATATCATCTCAAAACCCAGAAAAGCATTAATGTCTTGTAATTCACACTAGGAACTTGCTGAATGAAGATGCAGGATCATAAACATCTATAATGTATTAGCCAAATTACAGATTTGGAAACTAATCACGTCTGTGGATAGGAGAAAAGCAGGGAAGGAGAATTGCAGAATTGAATACTACTGTAATGACAAACATTTACTCATATAAATTCAGCAAAAGAATGAGCTACATCTAGAAAGTAAAAAATATTTCTAAGTATTATACCACTTTACAACTTAAAAAATACCCTCAAAGGGATATCTGCTATCTCAAATCAAGTCAGATATTTAAAAATATCAAGTTACTTATTAAGAATACTACTCTTAATAATTAGCTTTGTTTATACTTTCATTTTTCACTTCACTTTGTCTAAACCAATTCTTTAGGACTACATTTTCCTTTTGATTCAGAGTTTATCCTAGTTTTTATGAAGAACAAATTAATTTATTTGCATTCAGAATACTGTCAAACCTCAATCAAATTGTGACACTTAAAATCAACCCAGAAATTAGAGAAAATCTTTAAGGAAGCCTGACCATTACCGCCAAAGTATACTGATATGAGAACAAAGTACATAGGATTACTGTAATAAAAAACAATGATATGCATACCTAAAATTATCACCTACTGAATCTGTATCTTCTGAGGTAACAGGATACTCAGGCTTAAGGTCTTCCTTTTTGTCTTTAGCGCAGATGCTAGTGAAGGATGCCTTCACAGGACAATTTTCACAATCTGTAAGTGCAAGCTCCTCTTCATTATTGATTCCAAAAAGGTCAGGGTCATCCTGAATCACATCAATGACAAGAACATCTTCTTCATAAGCTTCAAGAATATTTGGAAAATTTTTACTTTTGTGTTGTGAAAGATTCCCTCTTGATTTGCTATCATTTACTTCTAATGCAACGGGGTGGTCAACTGCATTCCAAGAATGATCAGGAAAATTAGGTTTTAGTACACATTCAGCACCACAGAAGTCAGGCACGGATGACTCTAGTTGTCTGTCAAGAAAAGGATGTGGATATAAAGAAAAATGTTCAGGGAGTGCAGACATCTCATTTGAAAGGATTTCAGGGTTATCATGCTTCAAGTCCTTACTGTTGATCTCAACTACTTTTTTCTTCATTGAAGCTGCAGATGTAGCATCACTCGTGACAGGAAGAGGCTGCTGCTTAGAATTTACCAAAGAAGTCTCTTCATCTGTTTTCGGTCTTCTTGAAACACTAGTGCTGTCAAGAAGCTCTAGTGGACTACAGGTTTTTCTTTCAAAAGAATGGACAGATTTCAATTTCCTAGATTCAGGTTTGTTTCTGCATAAAGGAATTTTGAATTTTGTCAGGCTTCCAGTGTTCAATACTTTCATTAGCTTTACATCAGAAAATGTCTGGTTCATTACTGATGCTTTACGGCTGAAGTTTATTCTGGTTTTGTTACCTGCAGATGTACCACTCTGGACTGTCACAGTCAGGTTTCTTTTTGTTACAGCTCCTTTATTTTTATCTTTTTGTTTTGTTGTAAAATTGAAGGTTGCTTTAACTTCTTGCACATCATCATGGCTAAAAGCCATGGCACTTCTATCCATACTAACTGGTGATTTCACATTTTCATTGCTCATTTTCAGTGTCTCATAAATATCCACAGAAGAGGATTCTGGTGTTTCAAGTGAAGTCAGACATTTAGTATTTGGATCTATTATTTTATGTGCAGATTCTTTGTTAATTTCTGCCAATGACATATCCAACTGTTTCAAATTCCCAGTCACAGCACTGTTTCCCACAGCTTTAACACTGCTTTTATCAGAGGATTCCTCAAATGCAACCCTCAAATGTCTTTTTCCTTCTGAGATGGACCTATGATTTTTATGAACCCATTCAGAAGTCCTGGCACAAGATTCAAAGGGCCAAACATTTTTACCAGTCATAGGTATTGTTCTTTGACAAGTAAACTGCTGAAATTTCTTATTAACTTTGTTCAATTTTTCATCAGTCTTGCTTTCGTGACAACTAGAAACATCACGGACCTGAGCCAGCACTCTCGGGCTACCTGAGGCAGCAGAATGATATGCCACACTGTTTGAATTTTCTCCTTTTGCTATTACTGAAGGCTCAGATGTCTTCTTAAAGCCATCTTCAAATGCAAGTAATTTGGTACTACTCTTTCTCCAGACTGATACATTTTCTGCTTCATGAGTATTTTTTCCTATATGAAGATCTGGTGTATGATCACATGAAGCTGACAGAGTAATTTCTTTATGATTTAGTCCCAAGACTGCAAAGGAGCTTGACATGGCAACTGCTGCTTCTGTTTGTAACTCACTCTCACTACATTCATTAGCCATGTTTGTGAAAATATTCTGCACTGCTGATTTCTCAGTGATTTTCATCTTTTTTCTAGGCTTTCTACCAATATTCCACTTTTTTCCTCTTAAACACTTACTGTTTTCACTCTGACAGCATGAAAAACAGCCTTCTCTGTTTTGAGTTTTTTCTTCTCTATTAAACAAACCACCTTTTACGGGCGATCTCTCATTTTGCATTCTACTAGTGCTGCAATCCATATCACTCTGTTCTACAGTACCATCGAGAAAAACGTGCTTTCTTTTATTCTGGGCTACATGGAAGAATCCACTTAATTTATAACTGCTGGAAGTTCCACTAGCTGAAGACTTCACAAATGTATTGATGTAACTACAGGCCTCTAATCTCACAAACGGATTCTTTTCTGTTGCACAGAGCAAGCCGTTACAATGGCTTAGGGCGTTTCTGCAATGTTCAGCATCACATTTTGCAGATAAGTTTCTCACTTTTTCAGCTGCAGTCACACCAGAACTTTGCAAACACTTGATTTGATCAATTCTGGGTTTCCTTTTTTTATACTGCACACCAGACTTTTTTGTTACAGGATGGCATAGAAAGGTCTTGCTTTGAGTCCCACCTAATGTAGCAACCATAGGAGATTTAGAGTAGTGAGGTTCCTTTTCCTTGGAATCTTCTGATCTGTTTCGATTTGTCTTAAGCTTTTTCACAGCCTGTGTACTGCAGACTTGCTCAATTGCTTTCCATGTTTCCTTTGCTGAATAAAAACAAAGAAGTGTCATTAAAGACACTAAGGAAAAAAGACTACCCTATTGCAATATTTTATAAAGAGAACAAAGAACATTCAAGGCTGCTAAGGAACATGACACTGTGTAAGACTAAAACACGTCTGTAAATTTTTACCATTTTCAGACTTACAGTAACAAATGATGTTTTGTCTTGAGAAAACACGAAGCTGAACAGAACCTGAAGGTGTCAAAAGCACTTTGGAAATTGTATATTTAAAACATAGGTGGAAACTAAATTAGAGCAAGTCTGGCAAGAAAATGCATATACTGTATGCACACTCAGCCTTAAAATCTTTTGTTTACACAGCAGATTCTCTGTAATAGGAAAGCCTGTTTATAAGAATATAGTGATACATTTCAGATATACAGTCCAATCAAATCCATCAGATGGTTCAAGAAGATCCAGGAAAACTGCAGGACTTGCATTTTTATAAAGTATTACTTTTTATTTAAGAGCAAATACAGATGAAGTAAAAAACTGAAACTGTACATCTGAAAATTTCATCTGGAGACTGGACTCAAGAATGTACTAGTAGAATGTTGTTATTTTTAGATCTTAGTTTTCAAAGGATGTAAGATGCAATTTTAATACCTCAGTTTTTCAGAATATGGTGTCTAGATAAAATATTTACTACTAATAATATACAGCAAATATTTGTTATTTGAATGTATCCACTTTGAAAGTAAAAAGAATGTATTTTAGGCAATTGTCCTGAAAAAACCCAGAGACTTAAACCAGACACTTAAAAATCCTCTTTCAAAATTCTTAAAACACCAAAATGCAATCTTTGTTTCTACATCTTTTAGGATTTTGCAGAGAATAACAACTAAAAAGCAAGAGGTCTGAAAACAAAACCCAGCACCCTATAAAGCCAAGCACTAAAACAAGACAGCATGATACATATTAAAAAATAGTAAAATAATATAGAAGTGAATGAAGAATTGACTATCTTTTATTTTGGCTTTGCTGAAACTACTGTCTCCTTTCCTGCTTGTGCCTGACCTTCTACACCTAAATGAACAACTGTTTATGAGGGGAAAAAAATATTTTCTTACTCGGTGTCTTCGCTGCTGATAACCCCTCTTCCCCCCACCCCCAAAGTCTATCTGGTCTCCTCTCCTTTGTGCAAAAGAACTGCTTTTCTCCTTCTAGAAAAGCCTCTCTTCTTCCTAAAAATCTGTTTTCCTCTAAGACTGGTTTCACAGAATGGTAAGCAGACCCTAACACTTCTCTCTACACTTCTTGAGCTAAGTTAGCAACCACCCACTAAGAGTCACTTTGAGATAGGGTACAGGCCACTTTTTCCCGCCCCCATGACTTTGTCACACTCAGACACATCTGCAAAAGAAAAATTATCTCCTGTTTTTTCGCTTTCTAAAAGGGTCTTACCAGTCCCTTGTCCTGGGAGCTCAAATTCTGCACCTGTACTTCTACAATGGGGCAGAAGTGCTTACCACTTTGCTCCAGGCTGTCTGCTCCTTTCTGAGGGTTTGAGCTCTGCTGCTCTTCTTTCCTGCAATGCTGGTGCACCTTTCCTCTGGTTGTTGGTTGTTCTTGGCTTCTCAGACCCTGTAGCTGCTGTAATACCAGTGCATTTCTGCCCCTCTTCCGCAGACTCACAGCTCCTTTCTTGGACTCTGGACACTGTGTATGCAGTTCTAGCAAGGCAGATCTACGCCCCTCTCGGCGACCTTCTAGTTTTGGCTTCATCGAAGATGTCCCGCCTTTCTTGCTCAAGCATCTCTTTTCTTTCTCCTGTGTCCCTGGCTTTCTTGATCCAATTAAAGAACACCTATCCAACTTCTCTGGCTTATCTACCTCTTCCTTAGGTTTTGGTTCAGACAAGGATTCCCGAATCCCCAAATTCTTAGTAAGATCTGGGATTTGCATCTGCATTATGGAGCCAGTACTTTTCATTTCAGTACTACATATGCCCTTTCTGGGTTGCAGCACCTCTGGTTCTGGCAAACAGGAAATGCCATGTCTCTCTGTGCTCTCAATTTCCTCCTCTAAGGATGGGATTTGTAATTTTATTTCCATAAACGAGTATTTGCCTTTTTTTCCTGAGCTCCCTGAACTCTCCTGGAAACCTGAGAGGTTCAGTCCTTCTAAGCTATGTTCTTTCCTTTCAATCCCTGCTGAGAATTTATTTTGCAAAGTAGTTCCTGAGAAAAATAGCTGTTGACCTTGTCCTGTCCCTCTCCTTGCAGTCTCCTCCCAGCACGTTGCTGCAGCCGTGGTTGCTGCCGGCCAATCTTCACATACAGCGGTGTCTGAAATTGGCAGAGCTACACCCTTCTTGCTTCTGACAGCCCTCCTGCACTGTATCCCCTTAGTTTTTTTACCTGGGAGTCTCTGGCTACTCTCACGTTGCTCCTTCTGCGTGGGCACAAGAGGAGCAAATTGCTCAGATGAAATGCTGGAGAGCACCGCAGGTTGCAGACAGGAAGATAAGGGCTGTTCAGGTTTTCTCTTTGGTGCCAGGTGAGGACTCTGCCTGACTACCAACTTCTTCCCTGACTCATGTCCTAGCCCCACACCCAGAGAGCTTGGGCTGGTGACCATCCTGCTAGCCGACTTCACCCCACTGACAGTTACCACTTTTCCTGACCTTAACTCTGGCATCACAGGAGCCTAGAGACAGCAACAAAATCCACAAAATCCACTCACCAGTGCACCATTAACAGCACTCCAGCCAGCCCAGCACCCAAGGCAGGCACAGGCCCAACCAGGTGGGGAGCACAACCACCCTAAGGCCACGGTCTCAGAGGCCCAGCCTGACAGAAAGCCCAGGCCGCCTGGGTAAAGCCCA